ATACGAGTTGTCTTGTTTTGCGAGTGGTCTTCCGCTGCGAGTTGTCGCGGTACCTAAAAAACATGTAAAGCGTCAATGATAAGAAATTTTGAAAGGTACGGGTAAGAGAAAAAAAGCTGAAATTTGCACAGAGCCGAAAATTAAGCACAAACAGAATTGGTCACCCGAGTTGTCCTATTGCACTAAAATTGAGCAACCATGGCCGATTGGCTAACACGCGCGGTTTTTAGCACGAAGTTCTCGAGTTCGAATCTCACTTCACGGTTGTAGCTGCCCCAGAGTCATCCGCCTCCTCAAGGTGTGACCGGCTACGCCAAAACGGATGAATAGTCTCCCCCACGGAAAAAAGGTCAAAAAAAAGAAAAAGGAGATGAAACAGGGCTGGGGGCTAATAAGAAAATGTACTAAAATTAGGCATAAGGCGTTAGTTATTCAACAAAACAAATCTGGCCTCGTTACACGAACAACCTTGCAAAACCACTGCTTGCCATTATAAAACACATCAAGTTCAAGTAAACTCGTGAATACGCAAAAGGAGCCGCTAAATAGCAGCTAGCAGAGCTCGGTAGATCCATGGCAATGACTTGTTATAATGAGGATGCTATCTGAACTATCAGTTTAGGATATATTTAAGCTATAACATGACAGCACATGGTTGAAAAAAAATTGGAACAAAACTGAGTGGTAACAAAGCCGACAAATTTTCAGCAGACACCGGGTGAGCAAGTTTTCTACAACAAATTTAATCTACTATATATTTAAATGCGGGCTTCATTATCTCGCTATGGTAAAGCTTTTTAAACTTACTATTTTAGCATGTTTAACAAAAGAATTTTTGAAAGTTTAAGCTATATCGTATATTTCAATGGTTAAGATTTTTTAAATCTTTTTGCCCGCTTCTCATTGGGTAACAATAATCAACCAATCAGCTTGAAAGCCATAAAACAAAAAAGAAAAGCAGCAAGCAAAAACACGGATGCATTAAAACTCAAATGTACAAAGCTGATTTGAATTAACCGGACAAAACGAGCTAAACTTGAAATTTAAAACGAGTTTTTCTCAGATTGGGGTGAGTTTAGATGAAAACTTATGATGACAAAACTTGCTTAAAATTTTAGCAGAATTCAGAATGACTTTGGTGTAATTTGTTTTGCGAAATTCGGGCCCAAAAATTTACCCCAAAAATGGGTCATTTTGGCTTTTCTTGCTTAATCAAAAATTACACCAAAATTACCCAGTCGATCACAGACATAATTATATCAAAGTGACCCCCTTACGTAGCCCAACAAACTTTAAGAAGAAGCGTCACATCGGGGAAACTTGAAGTAATTAAGCAGTCGCATCTGGACAGAAGATTTGGAACTCTAGAGAGTACTCTTACAGTACCCAACTACACAGTTGGGAAAATCAAATTTTGAGAAACTTCAACATTAAGTTTTCTAAAAAAAGTTTTTTTCGCAAACCAGAAAAAATGTCACATCTCGAAAACTACCAAGATTTGAGCAGTTTTATTTGAATGCAATGTTTGCAATTTCTGACAGTACTGTGACAGCACACAACTACAGGGTTGGGAATTTCACTTTTGTGAATTATTTTTAAAATTATTGGTTTTCAGAAAAAATTACAAAAATCGCCTTATCTCTTGATCTAAAAAAGTTTGGGCATTGTTAATTGGAGGCCGAGTTCGCAACAGCTGAAATAACTCGCCCAACTACAGGTTAGGAATTTCAAGTTTTGAAAAAAAATTTAATTTTCATGAAAATTTTTTGAGAAAATCCTAAAAAACGTCATATCTCGAAACTGCAAGGATTTGAGCTGCCATATTCAGTGGCAAGATTCGCGACCCCCTGAGAAAACCCACACATTTTCCAACAACAGGATCGAGATCTTCAAAGTTTTGGAATTATTTAGCCTTCAAGTTCTTTAGAATTTTTTTGAAAATTTCACAAAAAACGTCAGATATCGAAAAGTACAATGATTGCAGCAGCTAAATTCCGAGGAAAGATTGGAAACGCTCACAATTTCCAACGGCAGGATTGAGAGCTTCAAAGTTTTGGAATTTATTAAAATCCAAGTTTATTTGAAAATTTTTGAAAAAATCATAAAAAACGAACATATCTCGAAAACTAAAAGGATTTGTGCTGTCAAATTTTGAGGCAAAATTTGGAACTCCTGAGAGAACCCTGACACAGCCTCACTTTAAATATGGGAACTTCAAGTTTTGGAATTTTTTTATATCTTAGGACTATAAAGCCTAAAAATCGTCATCTCGAAAACTACAAGGATTTGAGCAGCCATATTCAGAGGCAAGATTCAACACTCTTGAAAGTACCATCACACTTTCCAACGACAGGATTGAGATCTTCAACAGGATCCAAGGACAAGTATCAATTTATGGAAGTTTGAAAAATTCATAAAAACGTCATATCGAAAGCTACAAGGTTTTGAGAAGTGACATCTGGAGGCAATATTCGCAACCCCTGAGAGTACCCTGACTGCACCCACTTAGTTGAGAATTTCAAAAAATTATAAGTTTTGTGAAGTGAGATTTTCTAGAAATTTTTGAAAAAACTCGAAAATTGACGTATCTTGTAAACTGAAAGTTTTTGGTTATTCATATATGGAGGATCCTAATGCCCGGGGAGAACCCTGACAGCATCCAACTATTGGGCTGCTATTTTCAAACTTGATGAAATAAACACTGAGCTCAAGCTGGAAAATTTAAAAAATCTTAACCATTGAAATATACGATATAGCTTAAACTTTCAAAAATTCTTTTGTTAAACATGCTAAAATAGTAAGTTTAAAAAGCTTTACCATAGCGAGATAATGAAGCCCGCATTTAAATATATAGTAGATTAAATTTGTTGTAGAAAACTTGCTCACCCGGTGTCTGCTGAAAAATTGTCGGCTTTGTTACCACTTCAGTTTTGTTCCAATTTTTTTCAACCATGTGCTGTCATGTTATAGCTTAAATATATCCTAAAATGATAGTTCAGATAGCATCCTCATTATAACAAGTCATTGCCATGGATCTACCGAGCTCTGCTAGCTGCTATTTAGCGGCTCCTTTTGCGTATTCACGAGTTTACTTGAACTTGATGTGTTTTATATTGGCAAGCAGTGGTTTTGCAAGGTTGTTCGTGTAACGAGGCCAGATTTGTTTTGTTGAATAACTAACGCCTTATGCCTAATTTTAGTACATTTTCTTATTAGCCCCCAGCCCTGTTTCATCTCCTTTTTCTTTTTTTTTTGACCTTTTTTCCGTGGGGGAGACTATTCATCCGTTTTGGCGTAGCCGGTCACACCTTGAGGAGGCGGATGACTCTGGGGCAGCTACAACCGTGAAGTGAGATTCGAACTCGAGAACTTCGTGCTAAAAACCGCGCGTGTTAGCCAATCGGCCATGGCTGCTCAATTTTAGTGCAATAGGACAACTCGGGTGACCAATTCTGTTTGTGCTTAATTTTCGGCTCTGTGCAAATTTCAGCTTTTTTTCTCTTACCCGTACCTTTCAAAATTTCTTATCATTGACGCTTTACATGTTTTTTAGGTACCGCGACAACTCGCAGCGGAAGACCACTCGCAAAACAAGACAACTCGTATAAAACAAGGAAGAAAATTAAGTTTTCCTTTAATCTTAATGTAAAACAAAAAAGCCGTAAAACATCAAAGCATTCGAGGCATCATTTTTTCTTTGGTATAAAGTGGTTTTACCAGTAAAAAGCAAACGAAAGACATTGTTTTGATAGTTTTTCACAGTTTTTGATATCCTTTGCAATTGTTCATACAAATCAGGCTTTTTTTTGGCTCCTTATCAATTTCTTAGCTGAATTGTGCAAATTTCCTTCCTTCTTCGCTGAATGAATTTTGATACAGTGAGGTGAGCATGACGCATTCCTAATTGAAAAGCTCTATGCCATCCTTTTTCGGAAAGTTTTTTGTCGGAATAATCGAGATATAAATGGAGCTCATCCTGCTCAGTTTTTCTTGCGTGGAGAGCTTCTAGTGCCAGCTTCAAGTCGCATTCAGGAATGAGAGCCATTGCCGACTGAGAGCAATGAACTACTTTCTTCGTAACACACAAAATGCTTGTTGATATTGCTGTTGAGTTTTGCGTTGCAACAGAAATCAAACCACTGGTAGGTAATGAGTAATGAGTAACAATGGTAGATAATGAGTAACATAGAATAACGAGGAACATTTCTTGAATATGCCATCAGCGTGCCAAGTTGTGTAACCCTCAAGAATGTCCAAGTTTGCCTCATCGGTGAACAGAAGAAATCAGTCGAAATCCCCCGGCCCCGAGTCATGGGCCAAGAATATCTGCCCTCATAGACTGGTATGAAGTATATCAACATTTACTCGTGGAATATTATTGCGAAACTTAGTACTACCCCAAATTAACTTATTTTTAGTTTTATTCGTACTTCCAGAAATTGGGCATCAATTGTGAAAAAAAAATTGTTTACTGGAAAGAAGACTTGTTCGCGAGTTGCTTAGGGGAAAAAAATTGTTTGAGAAAAAAAAAACCAAAACATCTAATTTGAAACTCAATTTTGGATATCAAAATTGAAGAAAAAGACCGTGAGAAGTCAAAGAAAAGCCGAACTGATGTTTATCTCTTGTTGAGCATATGAAAACTTGCTATACAGCTTGTAAATGAACAAAAAACGCTGAAGAACCGCTGATTACGGTTTTGTGTACTGGACCGGTTTCAGACTGGATGGAACTTGAATGAAGACTCTCTCGGATATTTTCTGAAGCACCCAGCGACATTGCAGGAATAACAAATTCCCTGCTTCGACATTCCGATATGATTTAACGTACAAACAACTGATATTGATTTAACTGAACCTTCACGACGATGCACTACGATTATATCAGACATTAACTTTATACAGCATGGATGATATAAGATGGTTTTTGAACTGAGTTTCTTCCGTATCTAAGGCACAAGTCCCGAGAGATAAGCAAAACCGAAAGAATCAAATGATTACTTTAATCCCTGGTCGCAGTTGTGGCGGAAATCTACCCTATTTGGATCGAACTGAACCAGCCAAAGAAGCCCAAACACTGGACTTTGATTGCTTCTGGTCTTCATCCCAAAATATACTCCAGGTCTGTATGCGCCCCAAAACAAATCGCTGTTTCTTGACGGTGTCGTTGATCCAGCATCCAAAATTTGTTCTAAAATGTATTAAGTAAAATGTCACATAACTTTTCGAAGATGATTGATGTGAGCCAAGTTAGTACCAATGCAATATGTATATGGCTAAATTTTATTATTTATTAGTATTTCTGACATCTATTCTATTTTTCTTGTGCACATTAAACAGATAGCGCGCATAGAATCAAATACTTCTTTTACCGCATTACTCGTTGGTTAAATAGTCTTCGGAAAAAATAACTAAGCAAGATCCCAGTAATCAGGGTAGGAAAAAGAAATACAGGAACAATTTTAATACAGATTATAAAAATTGTACCTCTAAAAGGCGTTATTGACCTTCCTCGAGCTGCTGTTTGTTTGAACGCATTGTACAAATAAATGCCACATAGCGCTAAAGCAACCGCTCCAAAAATAAACCACTTTTGATAGCGCGCATTGTTGCTGGAGTTTCTCCCATTCCTATGAGCGGCAATTCTACCAGCTTCAGACGCAGCGCCATTGCTAGGTCTGCTACGCCTGCGCACTGTCATCCAATTCTAAAAAAAAACGAACTTTTTAATGGAAGATCTAAATTAATCAAAGACAGCAGCAAGTTCAGGGGTTCCGCAAATTATATGGCCATATAATGGGGTTTCCGCCCTACATGGTAATCAGAAGGTCAAAAGTATCATAGTAACCGAGGTTATAGTCAGGAGTTCCTTCATCACGAATCAAAATCCTTGGAATTTTCTAGATATGGAAGTGATAATGATAAAAGAAGATGACAATGTACCAGTCGGTCATATTTGGAAGTTAGACCTTGAGGAATACGAACTACGTAATTTTGGGATGAAATTTAATTTTTCAAAATGTAACATTCGCCCGGAAGTAACATATCGACGGAAAATAAAACAAAGTCCTAAGACGACTGGCTAACGTCTAAACAGAGTTTAACATGCTTTTCCCCGTCCCTACCAAGCCAGTACTTTCGGTGGTCTTTCTAACATCGGGTCGACAAAAACGTTACTGCTTTCGGCTTCGGTCAAAACACTCAAATTAACTCAATTACATTCAGAAATAGTGAGCTCATGGCTGGGTCTCAGTATCCCCAGACCACGAGGTCACTCCTAAAAACAGGGCTACTACTATTTATTGAATTATTATTGTTTTAGTTCAGTAGATAAAAATCATCATCTCCATCGAAGACGGATCAACCCTTTCCCCCAACTCCTAGCTTCTCATCTTAGTAGAATGAATTCGGATGCTAATTAAATTCAATTCAGGACAGCTAAAAGTTCATATAAAATGATAAAATTCTCAGTCCCGAAACCCCTCCGGATTCTCGAATCCACTGAATCAAGCACGTTAAGCTTGATTTCTCTGTAATCCGGAAGGCTGGTTTCCTCCCCTCACTGTTGTTAGCAACTGCTTTGCAACTATTGTAGCGACACAATAGTTGCAACTTGGAGCGGTCTCTGCTACTTCTGCTCTTCTCTAATTCTGATACTCAATTTTCTCGTTGTTGTCGTCGTCGCAACTATCGCTGTTGTGTTGCTTTTCAGCTTTTCTGCCAAAATGGCCGTTTTTGACGTTTCTGAGAATCACTTCGAAAAATTAAAATTTAGGAATTTCCGAATCCTTCAGCCTTCACGATTTGTCCAATTGTTCGAATAACGTTCTTATTCCTTCTAAATCGCCAATTCGGAAGGTTCGCTGCTAAAAACTCCGAGACTGCAGAGATTGCATTTTGTCCAATCTGGTCGAATGTCACATACTCCCCGGACATTCCGGTCAATGTCCTCCTTGAATCTCGCAATGTTCGTAAAATAGGTACAGTGTCATCGAACGGAATTTACAAAATGCACTAAATTACTTTTATCCAGGTCACATCGACTCACTGCAGAATATAAATGGCATCATACTACATCACTATAGCCTTCAAATTCTTTCATCAATCTGCACATTGAGGATATGACCTAAGATAAAACATATTTTGTGACTTCCAATGTCAATGTCCTGATTAAAAACTTTTTCTCCTAGATTTAAAAGGTGTTGGTTTGCAGGACAGTCCTGCCAACCAACAAGCTAAAATTTTCCTGCTATGCTTCTTCCCTTCGGAACTCTTGCTTGTTATTGTCCTGAATAATAAAAAATTGAAACTCTGTGGTTAGAAAAAACAATGAAACAATCTCCCTCTTCGAGAGATTACCCAAGCCTCTCATGTCACCACAAAATGATCAGTTCTCCTAGCTGATTAAAAACAGTCATGTAGGCTGGAATATTTAAATATACTCCTTCACTCAAGCCTTTCTAAATAAATAGTAAGTAAGTGTCTCTAAAGCCACTCAACTAAAATCAAAATGCAAATTTATAAATGCAACAATTTCAAAACTCAACTAAATGTTTCAGTTTTCAATTACAACTTGGTTGCTTGGTTTCTCACTTGAGTTTTTTCACAGACATAAAACAATTCTTAGTTTCAGTTTTTGCTTCATCACTCCTTTGTTTTCTTCTTTTTTCGTCGTTTAGAAGTTCTAAAACGTCTAAATTTTTCTTTCAACACTTCTGTTCTTCTACCCTCTGTTTGCAACAAGGTAGGGGATCCACGTTAGATTCTCTGTTCCTGCAGAAGCTGTTGTGGAGACACAACGTCACATTTCTCTCCAAATCTTCCTTTAACATCTCTGCCTTCTCCTTTCCCCTACGTTCACTTGTCCTGGAAATTCTTTTCACAGCGGTAGTCACTGCATTCCGATGAGTCACGAGAGCTCGCTTGAAAGCTCCTGCTCCAATGTCCAGCTGATATTCACTGTACACCCTGCCGTGCTTCGACATATGCTTTTTAGCATATTCGTACAACCATGCAGTCATGTTAGCTCTGAACCATGGCATCAATCGTTTTCTTGCCCATATCTTCTTCACTTCCATCGGAATGTTGAGAATTTTGCACCTTGTCTCAAAAAGATATAAATCTTGTGGACAATCCAATTTCCGCAATTGTTCTCTCGTTGGCGCTTCCTGTCTATTTTTTTCTCTCACATGAGCTTCCAGCCATCGTATCGCCATCATAACTCCCACTATCACTATTGTTATGGGCTGTGATGAGTCTGGTAAACCCATGGAGAGCAGCTCTCCAGAGTCCCAGATCAACATCAGATTACTACGCTTGGGATACCACCAGGTCTGCAGCAAGCAGTGGCAAGGAAACTCGTCATGTGTCAACATGATGCTCCTCCAATTACGTTTTCCCGAAGCTTCCAGTAATGGTTCCATCATCACTCGGTGGACTTCATCATTCTCGTCTACTGTATTGTAATCTGTGACAGTTGATCCTCTCTGTTTCTGTCTCTCGAAGTCACTGAAGTTCCCGCTCACGTATCCCATGAACTTCTTTCCTAGTATTGATTCCAACTCTTCCTTGGTTCTCTCTGGAACCGCTGAGAACATCTTACATAGCAACTCGTAAGACTTCTCGGACATTCTCGCCAGTCTCACACAGTTCGGCACTGAGAAGGCTTGATCCACGATCGTTCTCGTACTCTTTATGTCCACAGCCACGAAATGTACCGGGTATCTGCTCTTGCACATTGGAGCCAATGTCGAACCCACCAAATATCGTGCTCCTGATGGTCTACAATAAGTCTCACTGTGTCTGATGTTCATTTCCGTCTCGATCGCTTCCCTCCATTTTCCTATGTATTTCTGCTCAGTCTGCAGAACTCCTGGGAATACTTCTACACTGATGGCTGTGACAATCTCATGTTTCTGTTCTAGATTCAATAGTGATTCTAAAGAACCAAACATGCTGTAGAGTCCTAGTGCAGTCACTAGATTCACCTCGGTTCCTCCATGGCAATCTGCTATCAGTTCCGTTTCTGTTCTTGCTTTCATCACTACGTTTCCAAACAATACCGTCAATTGCTTATGTTGTTTCTCTAGGGTCTTCACACAGTCCAGACCTCCACAAACGTGACCTTCCAGTCCACAGACTTCCGCCAGACAGCTACCAGGTTTTACCCAGTCTTCTCGTCCCCAGCCAGGCAACTCCAATTTATCTTCTCCGTTGCTCCTAGAGGCCGTTATCATCACATTATATATGACGTTAAGGTCACGCAGGTTACAGTCTGCATTCAGTTCCCTCTGCACGTCTTGTGTCGCCCGTAATATCGAGTCAGCGTTGAGACTAGGACACCATGATGGCTTCATCAATTCCCACACTGCCATCAAGCTCGTTCTCAGTAACTCATCTGAGAATCCCAACCCAAACTCCACTCTTTTGTCGGATTTTGGTACGGAAGGTGCAGTCATCTCTTCTTCCAAGAACAGTCCCAATTTGGCCTGTGGATTGTTCACGCCCTTAATCGTTACAATTCTGGACGTCCAGAATCTTAGTAACACCGCCTGCTCGTAATCGAAGAAGCAATCGCGTATGTCTTCACTCAGGAAAGGGTTGTACGCTATCCCTATGATTCCGGATACGTAGCTATACGATTTCTTCTTGACGTATTCACTGGACTTCGGCAGTGCCCCCATAGATTCTTTAGCGAGTCTCAGCTCCTTGTTTGAGAATCTCCTGATTTCATCTATCTTTCTCATGGGTTCTAATTCCTCGGGTTCTTTCATGTTCACCCTCATCGGTTTGCTTTGCTGCATATCCAGCAGTGCTAGCAAGAGTAAGGCTTTCGCTCGCTCGTCGCCTTCCCTCAACATCTTAACACAAGTGTTTAATGCAGGTACTGAAATCTGCTCTATCAGGAATCGAATGAAACAGAGAGCGTCTCTCCGCTTCGCACACGCTACTGCTGCTCCCTCTTGGACTATCAGATCCCTCAGGTTCGTCATAAGGAAAACCTTCTCTTCTTTTGACCTCTTCCTTTCTTCTGAATCATATTCTTCGCGAGTTAGTCCCATCATGCACCAGGCGAACCTGATTTGTAACTCTGTTCTTACGTAAGGTACTGCCACGAGAGCATGTATTCTTGGCGTAGTCCTCATCTCTTCTTCGAATTACCTTAATACCACTGCTTTCCATGGAAGGCTCACCAACTGCTCCATCGTTTCTGCCTGTATCTCAGACGACGCTTAAGTCCCGTACGCCTTCTGCTTGAGGGTGGTGCCGTGCAACATCGTTTCCAGATAACCTTCCATGGCCTTTTCGTCTTCCAGGGCCATCACATACCCTCTAGCCGAGTTTCGGTATTCTAACATCTCCATGTATCCACCGGCGGGTTCATCTATCGACACAGTCTCCGACACTGTTAGTCGGTTATATTCCACTGGTACTAGTTGTCCTGCGACACTTCCCTTTCCGTGATTCATGGGAGATGGCTTAAAGTCTCTCATTGTGATCTCTCCACATTGGCTGAGTGTTTCCATGTCTAAGGTTGCTCCAGTCAGAGTGCGGTCACTCCTTTTGGATTTATAACCTGTTGACTTTATCCCCGCCATCAGAATGGGTGGCACCATCGCTATATCAGTTAACATTTTATCTGTGCCAGGCAATTGATAATCACCTTGCCCCAAATCCATGACCTCCTCGACTCGTTTCCTTTTC